GTGACTTCAGCCCCCTTTCTGTGAGCCGCCTATGAATGGTCCTTGCGGTCGCTGAAGCACTAGTTGCACGTACAATCGATGATAATGATGCATCTGGGGCTGCGAGTGCCACTCTGACGATTGTTCGGTCTGCACGTTCTGTCGTTTCTCTAGGCCTACCGCTTCTTTCTTGACGTTGTGTGCGGCCATTGTTCTCCCATTCCAACATCGTCTAATAGTGGCATCGCTCCTACTCAAATGTCGAGCTATTCACCGATAAGACCAACCGGCTGCTTTGAGCCCAACTACAGGACCTCTCTCAAATTCTGACATCTGCGCATATCGTTCGCGCATCTGTATGCGAGGCGTAGTTACTGTCTACCAGAGTACACAGAATGAAATTCGAGAAGAATGGTAATTTCTCCTCTTAAATATCCTGCCACTTGCGCAGATCAGATGCGCTGTAGCGACAACCGTTCATTCATTGGCAGCCAAAATGTAAAATTTGCATTTTCCGTCGAAACCTGTATGCATATCAATTTGTGTCCAATTTGCTTTGTATCTTCTATGTGCGTCGTGGTGCGTCGTTTTTGTCTAAGAGTGTAGATTGGTACAATATGACTTGATCCTCCTTAACAGTACATTCATTTAGGCAGGTATATGGCGATGTAGAAATATAATCCAGACTGCTTATGTAGATTCTTATCTCCACTATGCTGTTCCTTATTAGGACTCCTTGACTCACATTTCTACACCACTCTTGAGAGAATCACATCTGCTGGCTACGTTGGCAAACAGCATCAGACAGGCATAACACGGAGGTCAGACTTCACCACCATCAAAATTTGGAAGACAGACTAACTATTCTCCGTCTGTTCGTCTCTCTTTCTCCATCTCAGTCATGAGGAACCATCTGCACAATTATATAATTCGCTTTTTCTACTCAGCGCAATCGCGAACGCATGCAAATTTCAGTTTTCAACAATTTTCAACTGTGAAAATTATTTTTTTACTAATATTTACTAACATTTTGTTACAGATTTGGTATTTAATTAGTTAATGTTAGTAAAATTATAAATAGAATTGTTTTATGCCCCGTGCAGTGCAGCGCGAGACGAATATTAAAAGAAAGCTAAGCCGGAAAGTTAAAAATACAAGAGCGCGTGCATTTAACATTTAATAAATAAATATATCTTTTTGATTTCGAGAAAGTACGAGAAAATTCTCGTGCATTTAAAAAGCTTTTATAAGCGGCATGAAAACCTCTCAATTCGTTGTTTTTAGTTAGTTTTTGTTTCAAGAGTTTGTTTTAAAAAACTGCTCTTGTTGACTCTAGCGAATTCGCGGATTAGCTTTCTTTAACTGCTTTGAATTAAGTTCTGTTGAACGTTTGAGTAGTTAAAAGATAGCTTCTGTGAGATATTGTAATAATGTACGAATATCTGAGAAAATTTAAGTATTTTGTTTTATTTATTTGTGATTATAAATCTTATTCATTTTTCATCGGACATGTGTATTCAATTCATAAAACCCGTACGCACGCAACAATATATTTTAATATAATTAATTTTACATCATTAAATAACTAGGCTTAACTATTATTTCGGGGCTATTTTGCCAAGGTTATCTTGCCGTGGCCATTTAGTTTGGGGCTATTTAGTCTGGGGCTATTTTGTCAGGGATTTTTAATCGTAGGCTATTTTGACGAGTCACGGATTATAACATTATTCAGATGACAGCTATTTGAGCTTTGTTTGTTGTAATAAAATTTTTTGAAATATCTAATCATCAGGTTATATCGCTGCAGGAAAGTGAAAAATGTGCAGTGCCCTAACTGGGATTCAAACTCCGGACCTTCCAAATACTCACCGAAAGTGCTTTCAGTTTACACCACAAAAGCGTGCCGAGAGGAGGGACAAAATATTTTATATAACCTTTTAAAGGGCGATATCTGCCTACGTTCGGAGTACTCTTTTTTAAAAACATAGAATTCTGATGAAATATATATTTATTTAGTCAAAATATGATATCAAATTATGAAAATAGGTAAATTTTTAGGAATATCTTCATAAATTTTTTAAATATATGCAATTTTATGCATATTTTTAGAGAATTTAACTCTTGCGTTAAATGTCGTATATTTTTTTCCACAGCATACATTTCTAATTTTATTTATACTGTATACTACTAAACACTCATCTGTGTTATGACTAAAATGTTTATGATATTTCTAAATTTTACTAAAATATGTGTATTACATGAAAAAACATAGTTTTTTGTAAAATATTTCTTATCGTTTTATATAGAAATACTTATAAAACAATCAAATTAATAAATATAACTTAGATTGTAGCTTAAACCAATAAATAATAAAGAAAACATTATAGTGAAATTTTAATAGAGATACCTTTAGAACATTTATGAGTAATTACATTTCTTGTATGTAAAAACACTAGAAAAATTAGTTTTCCAGAAAACGCATTTAACGATTTCACATTAACAGAAAACTGTTCTGTTGTATTTACAAACTTAAAATTCTCCACATTTGTACATCACACCCTCCATATTTTTATACTTAAGTAATTTTTGATTTCCCTATTTGATTTTAATTTTTTCTGGCTATTTTCGAATGAGCCGACGAATGAACGTTTCGAGTTCTTTATTCTTTCGTTATCAATTTCAAGTAATTTTTAATCATTTCTTGTCCAATTGATATGCCTAAATGTTCAAACACAGGAAGTAATCCAAGATACCCTGAATTAAAAATTAAAACTGCTATATATGCACCCAGCAACATAGTCTTTATACCTAATCGCAATGTTGCCAGACCCAGTTCAAAAAACCGCAATGTTGCCAGTCCCAGTTCAAAACATTAAGCCAAATAATTATTGCCAGAAACAAAAAAAAGTACCCAGAATTAAAATGAAATTTTTTAGCACAATTTTTACACAACAAGTAAAAAAAAACACGGATAACAACATTGTTTACCTTTAAGTTGAGCCTTAAATGGCACTTCCTGTATTTCTGCTTTCACTTCCAGTGCAGTTAATTGGCTATATTTTCTCTTCTAATTATCACAAACGTAAAAATAAACCATTTTCGGAATCCTACAAAACCGACCTTTCAAATTGGGCAATTAACAAAAAATCGAATTTTTTCGCCGAAATCGTTTTTTTAACGTAGGCAGATACCTTAAAGGGCGACTGGTGGGTAAGCGTACCTAGTCGCCAAATATGGTGGTGGCGAATTATTGTCAACTACCTTTTAGTTTGGGCGCCACTTGTACAGTCTCTTAGAATTTTTCGATACTAGGAAACTATAGAAATGCACATTGCTGGCGCCAGGATTCGAACTCCGCGGCTTTCGAATGAGTCCAGTCAACACCTCCTTATAGAAGTCCAGTGGGTGTTGGTCCAGTGGGCTTCCAGTTACAGCACAAAAGCATACGGAAAAGCGGAATAAAATAACTTACAAATATTTATCATGTTATTTAAACTTACAGTGGGTTTGTAAAAATTGCTTTTCTGGCATTTAATATTCACTTTTAGCTGATGAATAATCAAGAGAATATCTGAATAATGCCCTATCGGTTAATTTGTAATCCAATTCTCAAATCGTAGTGTTAGGACTGATTATGTGGCAAAGTGTTACGAAATATGCATCATCGTTTGGCAGTCCATTTTCGGATATGTATTTGTCAGATTTCCAACAATGGAAATTTCCACAAATAGCGTTCTGCCTTCTTCTTTTTCCTTCTTTTAAGCGATGGATTACATTGCGAGTTCATGGAACTCTAATTGCATTTCCGGTTGACATTCCGTACTGCGTTTTGAACGGTTATGAAAAACTCGACTTGTGAATGAGCTATTTGAAAATCTCAAAATCTACTACGAAATTTTGAAATCATTCTTCCCTTTGTTCTTCGGCAATTCAGAAACTAAATTAGTTTAACTAATTAAGATTAATACGTTGCACTAAAATAAAAAATCTCTACCCCTGAGATATAACATTTCAGTTACCCTCACTGCTTCGACAGGAAATTCTTTAAAATGATTCACGTCTCGTTTTTATATTATATAAAACACTTTTCAAATAAGATTATTTTGCAGAATATTTAAATGTTAATGGCCTCAGGATTCTTTTTATAGACGTGCACATGTTTTTTAATACCAGGAAAAATATTTTTTTTCCTTTTGAAATTAAAAAAAGAACAAAAATATCGCTAAAGGACTCGCAATCAAATCTGATATTTGTCTCCGAATTAAATAACAGCACGTTGCTTATCAGTTAAATAAACAGAGCCCTTTTACTATATATATATATAATTTTAAATTCACTTAGTGAGAAATCGAGTTATTCTACTATTTGAGCAATTGCTGCAGAGTAAGTTAATAATAATTTATTTACTAAAGAAGTATTGATTATATTATCTCCTAAGATTAATTTTAGAAGAATTATCTTAAAAGAGTGAATCCATAAACAATCTTAATTGAAACGCAGAATTTATATAAAAATAACACTCATTGAAACAGAGAAAAAATTATATATGCATAATAAAAATTATATCTATATATTATCCCTTTTGATGAGTTTTATTTTTGTATAAATTCTGCGTTTCAACTAAGATTGTTTTTTTGTGTTACTTTTAAATATTTGCATTTCAACAGTAGAGATCCGAAGATACGTAGGAATAATTTGGTGTCATTCTGAGATAAAACGAAGCATTCAATATTTTTGGGCAATTAATTAGTAAAATATATAATATATAATATAAATCTGAAAACACTCACTATTAAACTGAAAACACTCACTATTAAACTGAAAACAATACCTTCTACGTACCAAAATCAGTCATATATTTCCTTTATCTCTTATTTCTGCTTCTAGTCAGAAATTATTCTAATAAATTCTTCTGCGGTTTCAGTCGTTTCGGGAAATGGGAGTGTGTTAATTTCTATTCATGACCACCTGACATAAGATAGAGCTTATTTCTGAAAGTTCTGCGGTCCTCTTGGACGTCATTAATCCCTGTGGAGAAAAGGATAATGTTAGAATATATTAAGAGCAATACATATAATTATTTCTTATATTGTTTACTATTTCACGTGACTACCATGTAAACGGTATTCAAACAAAGAATGTGTTAAGAGCTATAAAAGCAATTCTGCTTCTTACAATATCAGCAAACGATAATATAAACGACTGCAGCTGAACAACAAGAAAGGTGATCACCCGGAATTTGCAGTAAGTTATTTATCTTTTTCAGATAAAGTTAGTTATTTTTATATTTGACTGTTAATTTAGGATACTGTTCTATTCCTAAAATTATTGCTAAGACTTTATAGATCTGCTTTATCAAATTTAATATTTAATAATTATTAATTCTTTTCTTAATGATGCCAATAATGGAATAAAACATCATTAAGATATTCTTCAAACTATGACATTAAGAATCATAATCAAAATCGTAATCTGCTTTCTAAAAATTGTTAATTTATTCTTAAAGTTATTATCTTGTTAATTTTCGAAGAACTTGAAGCTATTATTCATGTTAACAAATTAAATTACTTTAGAATTCTCAGTTTCGTCTGTAAGACAAATTACACTAACATATTATAAATATTATAAAGACACATTAAATAACCGAATTTAGTATGTTTTTACGCGTCAGAATCTTCAAACACCGAAATTTAGTAACACTTACTCTGGTTACAAATTTGGTAAGGAATTATTGCATTCTTTCATACATGTTTTCAGGATGAAGTGGCAACACGTCAGTTTAGTGAATTTGAAGATCCGTGTTTTGATTCTTAGCAAGGACATATGATTTTGCACGTTCTTATTTGAAATAGCTGCTGATCTCTTTCTATAAAATACCTCATGAAAACCTCCCTTTCTTTAGGCAAATAGTATTCGAGTGCTGTGCCATAATCAGATAACCTAGTAAACCTTGAAAAGTAATAAACATGAAAATTATGCAATGCTCTAGCCGCGATTCGAATTCCGGATCTTCCGATTATTACCAGGACGTGCTATCCTGATATACAATGAAGTTACGCAGGAAAGGAGGGAGAACTTACCTTATATACTCTCCCTGTTTAAAAGGCGACTGGGGTTGAGAGGACCCAATCGCCAAATCCTGGTGGTGATGAATTATCGTCCACCACCTTTCAGTTCCGGCCCCACTTGTAACGCCGTTAAGCTTCTACTGATGCAAAAAACAGGAAAAAATTCTCAGTGTTCTGGCTGGTATTCGAACACCAAACATTGCTAGCTGGATTTGCTATCCCGTTATACAAGGAAGGCACCAGAAAAGAGGGAGAAAATACTGATGATCATCATTTTCACAGTCAATAATATTAGTAACACGTTTAGGTTTAGTTTTAGAATTAAGTTTCGGGGAAATAAAGCCTGTATTAAGTAATCTCTTGTACTGAATGTAGAATTCTAGTTATTTCTTTAACTTATTAATCACCGCTTGCAATTGATCAATCGCCGAGTTCGGTTCGCCGGTTAAGTCACGTATTCGTAATGTTTGTAATGTGGTTTCCGTATGAGAGTATTTTTCTTGAAGATATTCGACTTCATTTTTAACACTGATAAACTGCTCAGTAAAAATACCCGTAGTGACTCCTTGAGAATTAGGATCAGTATCCCTGCAGCCTACCTGTTTGCTAGTTTAACACAAAGGCAGAAAATCCTTGTTTACTGTAGTTACACAGTTCCAGATACTTTAAGACTATAATGATCGCGTAAGATGTTACCTCAGACATTTGTGTTTTTATGATAAGAAATTTTCTATTAGACATTATTTCTAGTTACATTCTTATTTTTCATAAAATATATCTTACGAAAACTTATTTGCGTAAGACATTACTGTTAGTAATAATTACATTAGAATAAAATTCGAATGTTTCTAACAGTAGCCAATTAACATTTTAGAGGGTTATTTCCTTTTACAATATTTTTCCTTTATACAAATAACACGTTGAGGAAGCTATTTCCATTTGTTTTCTTAATTTCCTGATGAATAGACAAGAAGTGAATTGAATTTTAGGTAATAAGTTCCATTCAATGCTTTACAGTTTCTCAGATATTCGCTAATTAATTCAGTGTTCGTTTGGTTATTTAAAAAAATTGCCACTATCCTTTTTATAGAATTCCATGAATCGCACAAAACTGATTTTCTCACTTTGTCCTTTCCAAAGCGAAAACATTCATTATACCTCTTAACTGAAGATCAACAAAGATGCCTTTCGTAATTTTAACTCCATTATCTAGGAAGACTGCCTTAAAAAACGAAAAATCATATCCTTTTTTTGTGAGTTGTGTCCGTTTCCTTTTTTCGTTTATCTTTGCAAAGATTTTAATGAAATTTAATCTGAAGCAAAGTGACATATTTTTCTTACGGAAATACTCAGAAAATAAGATTAACATCTATTATCTCGTATTTAAAGACATGCAATCAGTGATTTTCGTAAATTACACTTTTAGCAAAATGTTCATGCTTACACAGAATCTTTTCACGTGTGCATTTTAGAAACTCCTTCACGGGGACTTCTTAGACAGCTACGCTAATGTCCTTCGTCACAATCTTATAAATCCAAATGCAGTCAACATCCACAAGCAAACTGTAATGATGAACACTTACTTTCGTTATGCGAAGTTTATAAAGAACATGCACTCTTTAGCACTAAGTTACTACCAGAACATTTTGACTAAATAATAACAATATATTATGAGATGATATTTTTCGAAAGATAATAGTTTAAAATTTAACTCCTGCAGTGTCTCCGAAAACCACGCTATTAAAAGGAGAATTAAATAGCGAAGCTATCACCACATACACGCACATCCGATACACATGCACGATTTTGTAAGATTACCATAAATTTATTTCTATACACTTTATAGGATTTGGTTGTAGATACATTAGAAATTTTTTGAAGCAGGAAATTGAAGAAATATGCAGTGCTCTCGCCGGGACTCGAAACTCGGACCTCTCGAATACGCGCCGAGCGTGCTGACCATAACACCACGACGGCACGTTAAGAATGCGGGAGAAATACCTTATTTGATCTTCTTCGGAAGCATGCAAATAGACCAGACCTCTAAAAGACTGCTAGTGACTTTTCACTGTGTTTTATAACTACCACAGAGACAGGGAAAGGGTGTTAAAGAACCCTTTTATTAATCTAAAAAGTTCAACAGACGGCACCAAGCCATGCTTACAGAAGCCAACACTTTTGGCTTAAAATCAAAGATAAACTAAAATTAATGAAGTGTAGTCTGACGGCTTCACAGTATAACTAGCGCGCAAGCTGGTTCAGATCGAAGTCGGCGTAAACAAGCCTAATGTCAATAATAACTCAACTTCGTATAATTCTAATCGCTAATGGATCAAAGTTAGCAACGGGGCTTTCAAGCAGGCGGAACATGCTCTAATTTCACCCTCTAAAACCTTCCTTTAAGTGCTTTCTTCTTTCTCCCTAATTTGAATATCCCGCGAGCTACAAATTTACATTCTGGCAGGGAAATGATACGAGGCTTGATAGAAAAGTAATTTGAGTTAAAATAACCTGTTAGGAAATTAAAATGAACCTTATAATTTTATAAATTGGTATTTTATCTAGACATCGTATGATTAATAATGTAAATACAAATAGAAGTGAGGGGAGCATCAGGCCTTCATCAGATGTAGTCCTTAATCACTAATCGTCCGTAAAACTTTATTTAAAGATCACCTCTTAGATATGTAATTCACAAGTACAAAATGGCACCTCCAAGAGGAACAATTTACGCTACTATATGCAATTAAATAACAGCTAAATCAAAAGGCATGAGCAGTTAGATAAGGTACTAAATCAAAGAAAATATTTTCATTAGAAGATTAAAAATTTGATTTATATTTTTGGTGCTAAAATAAAATGTATTGCTTATAAATATTTTAATTAAGAATTAGGAAATATATATTAGTTATCTTCATTTTGGTAATTAACAGGAGTGTGCTATTAAAAGATCAATAAAATAATTCACTGGTTGATTAAAATAATGTAAATAATACCAACCTTTAATTGCAAGAGTTATTATAAATCAGTTTAAAAATTTTAAGAAGCGCTGATGTATATCATCAACAGCTCTAGCACTAAATTCTAAAATATTTATTTAAAATATAATAAAAAAAATTTAAAAATATATTAAGAATAATATATTAAAAGAAAATATATTAAAAAATTATATTAAAAATATATATTAAGAAGAATATCAGCAACATAAATTATCAGTCAGGTATTGTATGAAAAGTCGTGGCAAAAAAATTAACCCGTAGGATTTTAAAGATAAGTATAGTTCATTGCTTCATTATCTGAAAACACAGTCTTTGCTGGTAAAACGTAATGACAATTTTTTCTATATTTTCCATTTTCAGAACATTCTATGTATTTACTCTGGCTAGCACATTTTAAATCCAAATTAGTCAAGCCCCTTTAGATTTTCTGTCATATACGAGTATTAAACACTTTACTTTTAGTTGAAGACGATATCAGATGTGGAATCATAGGTCAATAGTAATTGGTCAGTAACCAATAGTAATTGTTCAATAGTAGAGGTGTTTCGGTAATAAACAAATTGCAATGTTGTTGCTCCGGTCTGAATGTGCTTCTTACTCGCAAAGTTACGCCTTTTGTAACACCAACTGGAGACGTTACGGAGAAAGCTTCAGAGCACGGTGTCCCGCGTCTCCTAATGGCACGGCTATTTGATGTCAGTCTTTTATTGCAACTTGCGTGGAAAACTAACGTGAGCTAAATAAACAGCAAAAAAGATTATAGGGCTATTTTGCGTGCTTATTTTCATATGGGTCGTCTCAAAATACTACATTCGTTATTTAATAAGCGGTAACAGTCAGGTTTCCCGTTTTAACTTGGCAACCTCTGCCAAGTTAAAAATAAAAGGACTACAGTAACTGAAAATTAAACAAAAATATTTTTCAGATAGTCAAACTAGAATCGAAAAAATAAGCTTATTGTTTTATAACGTATTTTTGTCTTTTGTTAAATTATAGAGAAAATGAAATTCACCTGTTTCGTCTTGGCATTGATAAACTTAATCGCAGTGATCTTCGCCGAACTTTCTTTCCATGAGGGAAAGAGAAGTTTTTCTGAACTTGGCTGCATGGGTGTCTACGATAAAGCCAAGTTCGCCAGGCTGGACAGAGTATGCGAGGAATGCTACCAGCTTTTCAGAGAATCGGATGTCCACACTATGTGCAGGTATTTATTTCAGATTTAGAATTTAAGATTTAGGATTATTCATTGATTTCATTCGTAGATTTTGAGGTATTCATAAATTTAAAAATTAAGCAAAAAAGAAACTTAGCCTGGCTTACATTATGAATAAAAGTTTACCGATTTCAAAAGCTATCAGACATAGATCCTTATTCTTCACAGAAAAAAAAAAAAAAAAAAAACTTTCCAGAGGCAAAAAGCCCAATACTAATAACCACATTACCTTACTTTAATATCCTTCTATCAGTTACAAAACTCTTCGTATTCTCCACAATTTCAAATCATTTTCTTACTTATTAGCAAAATTTGCTGTTCGATTCTTAAAGATGCCATTTCTGATTTCAATTCTTGGGTAATTTAAAGCATACCTTGTCAATGTATTTTTATATGTATCAGCCAAATTGAAATGTGCAAATAGTTAGCGTTTAAAGAACCTGCATTCTGTGTTCGAAAAGGGGAAATAAACAAGTCTTCGATAGCTAATCATAGCTGGCCACTTAACAACAATTTTGGTTTTGGTTTTGTAAAAATTATCTTCCATTATTTTCTTTGAAATCTTTCGTATTCACAAAAATCTATGTTCTTTAGTTAGTTCCATTAATTCCAATCCACGTTTCCCGAAGCTTTCAAAATTCTCACATATTAGATTTTTCATGTTTCTTACTGCTTTTCGATAGATGGCGCTACATAAATTTCCTTCTTGCTCCTTCCATTAATTTCCATGTAAATACTGATGTTGCTTCTCCTGCACCTGCAAATATGTTTGCTTTTAAAAAAGACGATTCTTCCTCTTATTTCCTTCAAAATCAATAGAGTTTTCATTAAAAATCTTCTCCAATCTAAGTTTGCTTTTTTTTAATTAAAAATTCTACATTTCAATATTTTTCTTCCAATTAGAATGTTTATAGGTGTTAAGAACTATAGATTAGCATTGCTGTTTAAACTTCTACTCATTCTTCCTTTAAATGCTAGTGTGTTTGCCCAGATACCCTCCATAACGATGGGCGATCTGTGAAGTTAGTACGGTAGGATTATAACCGTACGAATGTCAACTGGTGAAATTTCGGTGTCCCGCCCACTTCTTCTGTCCATCCGTTTTATTTCAATGAATGGACATGTATTTCTCAGATCAATTACAGAACTAACATAATTATCATATCATCAGGTAATATAGGGGCAGTCTATATTAGAAATAGGTTTCAGTTTTCATTACTTTTGAAAAATAAAATTATTTAAAGTGCAATCATTGACGTCGTTATAATGGCATATACAATCCTAAAGAAAAAAAATGTTATAATAAAACTGCATTTAATGTATTCTCATCACCGGGGGACTTTTCTACTGATCTCTGTAAGGGAATGATCGTTACACAAGTGGTCGTTTTATCGGTAGTCAACTTACGTGGAAGGAATATTTCCATTTTTAAAGTAATTTTTCAATCATTTTACAGCAATAAAAGAAGATTATAGGCTTATTTAGCAAGCTATTCTTAAATACCTATTTAGTGTAATATAATTAGGACACAAGCTATATTCCATTGTAGAGACATTAGGCATATTTTTTTAAAGCAGCCAAAACGAAAAATTAACAGCGCCTTCGCCGGTAATCGAACCACGGACCTCTGGAATACCGACCCAGCGTGCAGAACCACTACGCCATGAAGGCCGCTTGGAAAGCGGGAGAAATACCTTATATACTCCCCTTTTTAAAGGGTGACTAGGGTAGGGGACCTAGTCGCCAAATCCTAGGTGTGGAGAATCATCATTCGCAACCCTTTTAGTTCGGGCGCCACTGTAGAGACATTATACATATTTTTTGGAAGCAGCCAAGATGAAAAATTAACAACGCCTTCGCCGGGAATCTACCCACGGACCTCTGGAATACCGGCCCAGCGTGCAGAACCACTACACCACAAAGGACGCTTGGAAAGCGGGAGAAATACTTTATAGCATCAGTTCCTCGATATTTCCTAATATACTGATTGGTATTCTGTTCTTTGTGAATGCTTGTATAGATTTTCACTATGAATATGTTTTGCGAACATGCACATATACACATATTCGGTGTATTTTTACATATGCATCTTTTACGCGTTTCTTGTATCAGAATTATGACTTGTTATTTAATCCACCTTCATTAATTTCTTCCTGTGTAGGTCCAACTGTTTCAAGAACAATCTCTTCACGCAGTGTGTGGACGCTTTGTTGCTTCAAAAGGATCAGCAGCAGTTGGGAACCATGGTAGAAGAACTTTACGGTAGAAAATGAAATAGAATGGTGGCTATCATATGAAAAAGTCAGTACAAAATGGGACATGGAACCAACCAAGAATCAAACAAACAAACAAAAAAGACGGCATTACTTATGAAAGAACTGGTACAAAATCGAGAGAAATAAAGATACTTTTTCATTCATTGCAGATTTGTTCATTTTCTTATTATTCAGAAGAATGTAGCATAAACACAGGCCTATATTAAAAGATATTAGGTACGTTACTAAAACTACATTTGAACACTACAAAATAATAGGTTTAAACATTTGTTGGATGTTGAGTTGCAGAATGAGGACAAATCGTAAAATGTAAATCTGTCAATATGCAAATTATAAATTAGAATGTTGTGCAACGTCAATCTTCTATTTTTTCAATTTAACTCATCAGTTAATACTGATGATACATCATAATCAAATCTTAATAATCAGTTAATACATCATAATCAAAACGTATTTCTTCAATTTAACTCAGCCACAGGTTCGGATAACAACAAAAATCAAGTGTCGTCTTTTTGAAGTGTCGTCTGTGGTACTGCATCCAGACTGCAAAACACACCTTAGAGCTTTCTCTGTCCGGGCTTTAGGAGACGTACACTGCGAAAAAAAAGAGGAGAAACAGTTCTATATCTCCCGTTCTAATGGTCGATTGACGAAATTCAACTCACGTTTCTCATGTCTCGAAAGGGCGACTTAGGATATGTATTAGATTTATATATAGCATTGTTCTAATATAGGTATTTTGACACAAAATCGGAATTTTTCTGAAATAATATACCAATTTTTCCCATATTTCGATTTTACGATTCAAATTACAGCAAACTACCAAGTTTTGTAAAAATCGCAAGAGTAGGTTTTAAAACATTAGCTGTCAAAATTTTAACTACTCAATGTTAATTGAGTTTGGTATATATTTATTAATCTCTCTTTTTTTTTATTAAACTTATTTGATTCTTCCTTTCACATTTAGAAATTCGGGTTCATTCTAAATAAAATTCACCTACTTCTTATGATTTATTTTTAAATTTTCTATTTTTAAATAATTTTTATAAATTTTTCGAAAAAAATTTTGAATTATAATCTACGAACGTTTTACCATCGTCTTAAAGTAGACGTATTTCTAAGCAGACCTGCAAAAAATTACAATTTTTTATTCAAAATTTCCGAAGATATACGTGAATTTACATATTTGCGCGTTTTGAAATGTGGCATATTTGTTGAAAGCGATAAAACATCAAATGTGGTTTCGACATTTTGTTAAAAATATTTGAAAGTAGGAACAATGTGACTTTTTTCCCCGCTCATGCGCAATGCAAAAAGATAGGAATGAGGTACCTTTTTTTGCGTTCAGGCGTAATGGAAGGTAAAGGATAATAAGTTGCCATATATTAAGAAGTTCGCCAAGTGAATTAGTCTTGGCGCGAACCGAAAAAAATGCGCCAGGATAAATTTTTGAATGTTTCATTAAATTTTGAACCAAATTTTACAAAATGTAGTATCTAGGCATAATTTGAGTCGTAGAATCGAAATCTGAAAAAAAATTCGGTATGTTATTTTAGAAAAAGTCCGATTTTTGTGTCAAAATACCTATGTTAGATCAATGCTATATATAAATCTAATACACATCCTAAGCCTTTCGTGACATGAAAAACGCAGTTTGAATTTCGTTAATCGGCCCAGTAGAATGGGATATATATAACTTTTTTTTTTTTTTTCCACGAAGGCAGATTGAAAGAAAGTCGAATTCGAGGGTAATTGTCAGAAATAAGGTTTACAGCCTTCATCTGTTTAAAGAGTTGTATAGGATTATAAATATTTTTAAAGGTTTTTAAGAAACTTTAATGAATAATTTGGAAACCAAACATTAATTAATTTTGAATAGCAACAATTATTTTACTATTTCTGGCAAATAATTCAAATTTGTTTGCTGGGTTAAAAGGTTTGAGCATTATAAAATGGACAATTTCCGAATTTTTTTTTTTTTTTTTCCCAGTAAGGAAATTTGATTTATCTGTTTCAAAAATAACTTGAGAAGATTATTTTAAAATTTTATAAAGGCCTGAAAAAAGACGAAAAAGTTTTCTTTTATTAGAGTATTGAAATTCATTATGCATTACTAAATCAGCAGGTTTAAAATTATTGTTTTAAAATCAAAGCCGTGTCTTTGTTTACATTATCATAATCATCAGACCTTTTCTGAGCAATGTTTCAAGTTTCTTCAGTTCGTGAATACAGATCTTTATTTTCGATCAAGCGATTACAGGGTGATTTTGCATAGATTAAATAAAATAATGCAAATTTTGTTACAGAATGTGGGGCATTACTGTATTCATCAGAAACCCAAGGTAACAATTTTGTCCACGCAATATTATCAGCATAGCATAAGAATTTAGTTTACATTTGAATCTAGTTATAATGACTTGATTAACACTTTATACCGTACCAGTAGCTTTGTGATTTGTTAGTAATAGTTAATAATTGTGTAACATGATTGTTTCTCAAAAAATTGCTTAAATTTTGAAGACTTCTAAGTAGTATTTCTATCACTTAAAATTTTCTTTGGGACCTGAATATGAAAATTTTGCCTTAAAGAGTTACGCAAGTATCAGTAGTTACGCTTTTAGAAGCAACAGTCCGTATATAACAGATAGCATGATCTCTACATATTGTTGCGTGCGTACGGGTTCGTTATGAAATGAGTGCACAAGTCCAATGAAAAATGAACAAAAATTTATTATTATCACAACAAAAATGCTTAAATTTTCTCAAATTATCATGCAGTATTACAATATCTCACAGTAGTTATCTTTTAACTACTCAAATGTCCAATAGAACTTAATTCAAAACAGCTAAAGAACGCTAATCCGCGAATTCGCTACAATCAACAAGAGCAGTTTTCTAAACAACAACAAACTAAGCAACTACTACAAACTGAGATGTTTTCCTCCTTTTATAACATTTTAAAATCACGCGCTAGAATTTTCCAGTACTTTCTCGAAATCAAAAAGAGATATTTATTTATTTAATGCACGCGCTCTTGTAATTTCAATTTTCCGGCTTAGCTTTCTTTTAATATTCGTCACGCGCTGCACTGCGCGAGAAATAAAACCATTTAATTTATAATTGAACTAACATTAGCTTTTTAAATACCAAATTCGTAACAATATAATAAAAGAAAGAGTCTGTCTGTGTGTCAGTGTGTGTCTTTCGTTCGCGCTGCGCGTAAGCTAATTGACCCACAGCTACGAAATTTGGTACATAGGTGCATCTAGACAAGAGCCAGTGCACCTCGAAGCGATGTTTTCGAAATTCGAATTCAAATTTTTTTTTATTTTATGTTTTGTGACGAAATCGCGTCATTTGAGACATAATGGGCATTAGGAAAGCGAGATTTTACTCTACAAACTCCATTTTCACATCGTCAAGAAACGTAAGTACTTAGCTATTTTACGAACTTAAAATAAATTTCGTGTTTCAATAAATCGATTCAATACGAATTTAATTAATTAACAAAGTGAGCTTAACTCCTTTTCAACAGGATTTTTTCTAAAAAAGTTTATTTTTAAAAATGTACAGTTTATTTTTCTTTGATTTTTGGACACGTTAAACTTTCATCCTTGCGCCTGATTTTACAAAAGGAATTTTGGAAAAATGATAATATTTTGTATTTTTTTAAAAATTTTACATGAAGCTTCCGAGTACACTTCTCACATCTCACATCTTTAAAAATGTGATTTTGGCAACAATTTTCCTATCTTATTGTTGCTGATAGATTTTTGATGAAATCGCATCATTTTGAATAGTTTCATTCTTTTAGAAATATGGGTTTGGCAACAATTTTTCATCGTATTTCTTATGTCACTGTTTTTAAGAGATTGGCATATTTCATTGTCATTTATATATATGTATAATACATTTTTATTGATTTTTTTTTAGTAAAGTTGTTCTTCAGAGTAAAATTCTGCGCGAAATTTTATGTTTTTTGAGTTGCTTTCATGTTAAAACTTTTTTTGCTTATTTCACTGTTTGTAAGATATTGAAAAGTTTTGCATGATTTTTTTTCTTCAACGGAAAGTTGGTTAATTTTTTTATAAAAATAATTAATATTTGTATTAAAGGATATAGCTTATTTCATTGTAATTTTTTATTCTTGAAAATATATAAGATAAAATATCATTAATTATACTTTGCTTTTCAGGATTTTTTTTTTTTTTTTTTTTTTTTTTTTTTTTGTTTTTTTTTTTTTTTTTTTTTGTTTTTTTTTGTTTTTTGTATTCTTTTATGTTATTTATTGCTCCTTTCACTGTCTTTAAGATATTGAAAAGTTTTGAGTGATTTTTTTAGGAAACAAAGTTCTTAACCTCCTTTATACCCTTTGATTTCTTAAGATTTTTCAAAGGGAAGTTGGTTAATTTATTTCTTAGGATAATTAATATTTGTATTAAGGGATATTGCTTATTTCATTGTAATTTTGTTATACGTAATAATTTTTTTTTATGAAGTTGTTCTGCAGAGTAAAATTCTAAGCAGTTTTTAAATTTAACGTTTGGTGTTCCCTTCAGCCATTTTTCCGGTACATTTAAAAGCCAGACGAAGGCTGGCAGCGATGCTGCTAGTCTATAATAATATGAATATATTTTTTGGGGAATTATAATAATTTGAACCACCAATAGTATCAATAGATAACAGTTTAAAACGTCATTAACAGCTGGTAAACACGTATTATACTCCGTCGTACTTTAGGCCCTTGGATAGCTTCGCTGGTAATTAGTGTTAAGGGGCCAACTCTGTTAGAATCTTGATAGCTTCGGTTATATCTTTTTAGTTAGATTAGTTAAGTTCTTGTTTTCCTGAGTTCAAGTTTAAGTGGAGGCTTTATTTTAACTCCAAGAAAGGAGTCATCTATCAAACTTTATTTCGAATAATAAATTGTATTTAACACTTTTCACGTTTTGTTCTCTGCCTCACGAGCTCAAGCGATTATTTGCTTATCAGTTCTTAAGGTTCCTCAGTTTTAACTGTGGCTTCAAGGTACACAGGTTGGAATCTTACACATTAATTAAATCTAAAAATTATAAACTTCAGAATTAAAATAATGTTCTAATTTAAAAAAAAAACATTTATATGTGTTTTATGTGATATATTTTTTTTAAAAAAAAAAGCTTGTTTCTTTAGCTCCTTCCCTTTTTTTTTTTTTTTTTTTTTTGCGTGTCGTTAAAACAGAAGAAGAAAGAAATCTAGAAGCAAGAAAAATTCCTAATACTAAATAATACTGATGCATCTCTTTTGTTAGCACAAAAGGGTGTTAGTCCAGATCGGTTATTAGTCTTGAAACGGCATTTTGCGTCGGTTCACTATAAACGGTTGTATCACTTTTCAAATTGTTGCCACCAAATATCACGCTGTATTATATTTAAAGAAACTAAATAATGAAGAACATGCATGAATGTACATGTACAGATACATGTTCCTCGCACTGTAAAAACAACGATACCTAGAGCCATCAAATTTTGAATAATGTAGTCATCCACCTGAATATGGGCACCTGAAAGATAGAATCTTGATTTTCGAATTTGTTTTATTACTTATTTCCTATTTCTCAAACGTTAACGAATTTTTGATTAAGAAACTCAAAGATTTTAAAGCAAGCAGTGGCAACACACTGTGCGGAGTAAAATATTTTTATCTCCAGAACGCGAAACTGCCTATCGAACATTATAAAGATATACTGTTTTTAAATATTTTTTATCCCAAACGGGCGTTAGCCCAAATGCTCTGGAAACGTGTATGTATTTGTAAATGAAGAAAACGTCCCTTTGGGCGTGATATAAAATCTGAAAACTTTTCTTTTCCTAATTGACACTCCTAAATAAGCCTCTTGGTAGTGTACACAGATTTCATGGTTTGGCAAAATAAAAAGTATTGCTTCTTGAAATAAATATTTATTGCACGCTTCGTCCATAAATGCTCCACTGAAATAAACGCACAGTTGCATCTTGAATAATAAAACCTTTTGCTTATTAAATAAGCACACAAAGAATTTTTTCTTTATTAAATAACCTCATAAATCTCCAGATGCAATAACTTAGGATTTTAATTTTATATTCTATATCTTGGAATTCTTTGGGGATCAGTTCTTAAACACTAGACTTATCGTGATAGTTATCTTAAAATTATTTCAAGCGTTAAACTGAAATCTTCGTGCGATGAACAGAAAGCGATTTTTCTTTATCTTACACTTTTCATATTTTCACATACTTTAAATATTTTTAAAATTTTGTTAAACTTTAATGGTAAACAAAAGCTATCTGAAATTTTAAGAATGCTGTTTAACTTTTTTATTTCAAATAAAATTTCCTAGAAACTTCTTGTGGATTGCTATCACGAAATCGGATAATCAGATTCGAAAACCTTTAAGGACTGGATTTAAAAAAAATGTATGATTTATGGCATAATATTCTCGTGCTCGTTTCAGAAATTTCCCACAATATATTGTGTAATTGCTTCAATAATTTTTGTATATTCTCTTGCAATGCAAAAAATACTTCTGTGTGAGTTCGTTATTATTACTGAAAAAAATTTTTAAGTTAACTTCACACACACAAAAAAATTAAAAGCTTTGAGATTTTATATTACGTCTAAAGAGGCGTTTTTTACATTTTGCGTGTTACCTTTATTTATTAAATATCATGTTCTTCACATTTAACCCACAAAACCATTTAACAGTAATATCACAAAATATTTAAAACAGAATATCTTTCTAATAGATAAATGCCCTGGAGATAAAGAGTTTTATTTTAGTCCAAAGGGGCTTTGTCCCTGAAGGATTTTCGTTTTGCGATTTTGCGTTGAATCACTATAAATGTCCGTTTCACTTTTCACTGTTGCCACAAAATGTTAGAGTCCTGCATTATACTTGAAGAAATTAAATAATGATAAATCTGCATAAATGTATGTGTATTTCTCGCATTGTGATAAAACAACGGTACTTTGAGCCATCGAATTTTGAATGACGTAAACCTCCTACGAATATGGGCATGTGGAAGACCAAATTTGAAATTTGGAATTTGTTTTAATATCGATTTCATATTTTGTAAAACTTTAACGAATTTTTTGAGTAACAAACTCAACGATTTGAAAACGAGCAATGGCAAGAATCTACGAGGGCAAAAAAACTTTTTTTATCTCCAGAACGCGGAACTGTGTATCGGAAATTCTAAAGATAGGCTCATTTTAAAATTATTTTGCGACATTGCTATTGAACTGAAATATATGGTTTAAGAGAGAAGAATATGGCATTTAATAAATAAAGATAACACACAAAACGTTAAAAAAACGCTTCTTTGGACGTAATTTAAAATCTGAAACCTTTCAGATTTCTTTTTTTTAAGGAATATTTTTTTCCCGTATAGTGTTTCCATTTTTTGCTTTGAAATCGAGCTCGTTAATCAAAAATTTATTTAATAAAGTTTCACAAAATATGAAATAGATAATAAAACAAATTCAAAATTTGGGCTTCCAGATCCCATATTCTGGTGAAGGATTGAGTTATTCAAAAATTAATGGCTTTAGGTAAATTCGCTTTTTTTACAGTGTGAAAAACATAATTAAATGTATGCAGATTCTTCATTATTTAATTTAAATATAATACAGGGCGATAATATTTGGTGGCAACAATTTAAAAAGTGATACGCCGTTTATAGTGAACTGACGCAAAATGCCGTTTCGAGGCTAATAGCCCTTCTGTACTACCGCTTCTTTGGGCTAATTTACATGGTTTATTACCATAGGCACTCCGAAATATTTAATCACTGGCATTGGCTTTTGGGGTAATTAAAAATACATATACGCAAATGTGTAGTAACAACTCTGTGAATGCGCGTTCTCAGTATCATCAAAAAACTTCGAGCGAATCAGAATCGTAATTGACATATATCTCCTTGAAAGAAGGTAACAGTTGTTCGCTTTAAAATTGAATAGCATTGGTTTGTGAGTGATAGTTCAAGGCTGGATTTTCAATCAAATTTCCTCCTGTCATCTACTAAGTTTTAGTTTATATATATATATTATATATATATATATATATATATTGGATTATAAAAACGTTTAATAGATTCCTTTTGTGAGATAACAAGTTATTCCCATATTCAGAAATATGAAACATGTATATCAGCTGTTATTACCGGTACATAACAGACAGATTATTACCTTTTGTTGAACATTTCAATACCATTTTCTGCTCACGAACTAGCAAGCACACATTGAAATCTGTGCTATCAAAATAAGACGTCAGAAAAATATTCTTCCAGATACCAACTGGAAACATTTGCTTTTCGAAAGTACTGCCATCTTACCCTTCTCTCAAAAGCAGCAGTTATCAGAAAACAAGCGCCTTGCCAGGAAGAGATAGAAGGTAACTATTCCACTTCTTTATCAACATTTCCAACTAACGATTGTTCTTAAAGACGTCTTTTAAATGTTTAACACTTGAAATAAAAATTAAAAAGTAATGTTTTGCTTCTGAAGAATGGCCCACGAAATCTGTAGAGTTTCATTTAAAATCTATGCCAAACTACGTTTTTTTTTTTTTTTTTTTTTTTTTTTTTTTTTTTTTTTTTTTTTTTTTTTAACCTAATTTTGTTAATTTAATAGTTCATTTCTCGACACTCCAAAAAACAAAGCTACAACATAAATTGCACTTCCTTAGAATATTAGATTATCAGTTGAATATGTAATGCATACTATATTACATGCATTTTAAATAAAAGAATATAAATTTCACGGAAAGTTAAGGGGACTCATACACCTTAAACCCCTCATGATCTTCGAATACGTGACTGTTGCAAGAATTAAGATATTTTATTTATTTTAAAAGCAATTACTTCCAACTTTTTACAGCTGACTACATAATATGACTTCTTTGGAAACTAGTAACCATAAAGTTTGTGTTGCCACAAATATTTTTGTAATTTAATCCTCTTTGTGATAAAATATTTCGCCATGTTTCCACTTGCGCGCATGATATTTTAAAAATGGCTAATGGTACGTACTTGAAATTTTGATGGAATTCTTTATATGGGCACTATTTTTCTAACTGAACCAACAATCTGATGAATATTTTAATACTGAAAAATTTTATGGACGAAAACATTAAAAAAAGTTTTAATAAAATACATTTTATAAACTCAACTCAACATAAAAAAAAAATTTAACATGAAATTTTTAGAATTTTAGGTTCACAGTAGTTTCCAAATGTTATAAAAGCTATATATTAAATATGGAATTAAATTATGAAACAGAATGTTTTAAACTGTGCGCGCAAGTTGGAAATATGACGAAAAATGTTGTCACAAAGCGGATTAAATTATAAAAATATTTGTGGCAACACGTACTTTCTGATTACTATTTCAGAAAGCAGCTATATTATGTAGTCAGCTGTAAAATGTTGGTAGTAATTGCTTTTAAAATAAATAAGTTATCCCAATTCTTGCAACAGTCACCTATTCGAACATCTTATGGGTTTTAAGGTGTACGAGTCCCCTTAAGGCAAAATCATTAATGCAAAATCGTTGCTAGGAGACGTGCAGACTATTCTTTTGTACCATGAAACGTAATATATGTATTTTTTAATAATGTATACGTTTAGAAATGTATTTCTTCAATTATGATAAAGGTGCAAATGTTCATAAAAGTTATCATTTAGATTCATTATAAGCTGTGTCAATTAAATATATTATAAAGTATATTATTTAGGTATATATCTAAATATAGAAGAAATAAAGTAGTAAGAAGAATGTTTCTTGCTTTTAAATCGAGCATTTTGTTAAGCAGACGAAAACTATTCGAAACATAGAACATTAAATATCTTTAAATTGAACTGCTCCATTGAATGGCAACTCCACCAAAAGTGACTTTTTTGCCCACCGTATGAGGATGAATATTCTGGTAACGTAACGTAATGTAACAGCCCTAAAAACTGGTAAAACTAAATTTAAAAATTTCCAATGAGAGTATTAATTTTAAAAGTCATAGAAGGAGGAAAACGTGAAAAAATTAGTTGAACTGAGCCTTGCATCTCTCAGAAAAAAAGCAAAGAATTGTTACTCGCGTTGTTAATATAAATTTTTTGTTAATATCGCTGTGATAACATCATGACATCACCTTCGAAAGAGAAAATAATAATAGGATAAATTGTTGAAAAGTCTTACTGCATTGGATTTCTAACTCAGTTTCCTTATTATTAACCTCTAATACGTGTACCTAAATAAAAATTTCTGCATTTCCCCGAGCGTTTGGTTGTCTGTTTGAATTTTTTTTCCTTTGTTTTCTCTGCGATGTTTTCGTCCGAGATGTTTTCACTTGCAGTCATTTCGCATCCAGAATTTGTGGAAATTTTAACTGGTGATTTCATAACGTTTAAAATCGTAAATGCTTAGTTTATTAGGATAGCGAAAAAATATCCTTTACTGAAATTAAGTTTCTGTTATTTTCTCTTTACTTTCCCATGTGTTCTAAACAGACTATTTGATGCAGTGTAACATCTAGTTCTTGAAAAATCAAAATGCCGTGATTTCAAGAGATCGTGTATTGCATCAGGAAAATGAAATGTATTTTTGAGGAAGATATTTATTCCAAGATATTTAGATGTTATTCTAAAACACGACTTTTATTGCTAAGAAATTTATCATATTAACACGTAGTGAAGGGAAAAAGAAAAAAGGAATAATCAAAAATAAATCTGAAAAGAGTTCAGATTTTAACAATTGCCCAGAAGGATTCTTGATTAAAATTTAATATGTTTAATACAAAGTTTAATAATCTATTACCCTAACAGTTTTCCACAAGAGCATTAAAAATATCTCCCTGATAATTTTTCGCTTCTGTTTACGTCATTCAATAGTTGGCTTAAATAATAGTTGTTACCGTTTTTAATCATTTATTAATTTTTAATAGTCTATTTAAGTGATATAGTTCCGGAAAACGTGGGTGGAATATTCTTCCTTCTTGAAGAAAAGGGCTTCCTTTTGTCAAAAAGCGTCAAACGTTTCGAGAAAATTAACTGCAACGTTAAGTTTGAATTTTATCTTATGCTAAAATTCAAATATGTTTGTTTTTTAACGTAAAATACAGCGCGGTACTGAGTGATCGAAACGTATCTTAATTTCACTTCGAATTATTATCTTAATTGGTCAAAGTTTTACATATACCAGTTTTGCCATTTTTATATATCATGTATATATATTATATCATTTATATTATTCTGAGGTTGCGGCTATGCAATGTCATTAATATTTTAGACTTGTTTACTTAGTATATAAGTCAAAGAACACAAAGAGCATCTGCATTGAATGGCTGGGCCTTGATTCCAATCCTTCTGTGTTTTAATCGAAATCACCTCAGGGAACAAAAATTGAGGATCTTGACTTCTCTTTCTTCACCAGGACCTTTCTAGAGGACTAGTGTTTTAAAGGACTTTCATAATCTGTCTTTTCGAGACAGCAGGTCATATGACTTCTCATATAGTTACAAGCATCTCATACTCGAAGACTACAGTTACAAGCATAGAGACTACAGTTACAAGCATCTCATACTCGAAGTACGAAACTGAAATCAAAACTTGAGAATCAATCCACTTAACTAATAATTTTACAATCTTCCTTGCATATGAACAGCTTCTCAGAATTTCTGAGAATATATGATAACTTTGCAGACATGTGCTTTCAGACTTTAAAACTTTTAAATGCATGTTCACATAGCAATTTGCGAGAGCAAGAAGGAATGAGAAATATTTTTATCTCTGTATTTTATACTTTTGGATTAACTAATAAATTGTTACTGAGCAAACAAGAAGGAAACTTAAGGATTCAAAAGTTCAAACTGCTTGAAAAATTAATGCTAGATATAGCAGTTAACGTAACTTTAAAATCAATTTTAACACTTAAAAAGATTAATTAAAGGTCATTATTTAATAAATCTATTTTATAAAATTGAATTAGTAGTAAAAACATGCATTTAAATCTTTAAAGTCTGAAAATACGTTTGTAAGTGCTTTATTTTCAACCGAGATATGACTTTCTATGACGATGTTCTATAACTGCGAAGAACCACTTTATTCTCTTCGGCAATACTTTTTACCGTGATGTTTTCGATCTGCGAATATTTTGCTCTTGCTTTCTTTTACTCACGATGTTTTTCATTTGCATTATTTTCTTCGCGATGTTTTCCTGAGCGATATTTTACAGGTTACCGTATAAAATAACATTAAGTGTAAAAGAAACTGGACGGAACCAAAACTCATTCGTTATATCCAGAAGTTCTTTATAAACTGGGTTCGCTCTAGTATAATTTGACTGCATTAGTAAACTGAAAGAGAAAGAATATGTGATGATCTTTTAGAAGGTACTTACGTATTAACCCAACCTTAATGATGCAATCTGGCGAATTTTTATGGATGAAAAGTTAAAAGTTGCTTATCGGGTGCAAGACGGGGATTGCCAAACTACTGATATTTATCGTAAGTCAGGAAACGTTATCATCATATCAAAAGAAAAAACACTCTCGCAATTTCAAATAGAAATTTAAACACTAAATAAGGATTAGTAAATTTTATGAAATATTAAAAAATAAAAAAATAATTTTACGAAATTCTTCTGTAATTCTTTCGCGCTGTTCTTTTCTCTGTTTACACCTTGATCTGTTTTTGCTCAAAAATGCATCAGAGAACTGCGCAAAACTTGGCATCGCTCACGATCTAAGCATTGCCTACCAGCTATCTACAAACTCAACTCATCACTATTCCCTTTAACGATTTTATGGTGAAAAATATATATATATTGTCGCAGAAATGTTGCTTCTATCTCTTCCACTGCTGACAAACTTCAAAAGCACATTTTTTTTTTAATTGAGTTTAAAGCAAAAAATATCATGATCTTCCCATGATAAAAGTTGGAATAGGACAAAAATGGCGACTTTGCTTGACTGAGGGATTGTTATGAACAAGATTGCCCGAAGAATGGTTATATGCTTAGTTGCCACGCAGTTAGGCACATTTTGAAAATTTGGCTACTTCTACTAAGGCAGCTGCCATAATACAAGCCCTAACGATCTTTAGAATAAAACTTTTCATTTCAATAATTCTTCATAAATTTCTAAAAATCATCTTTCAACTTTACAGGTAAAAACAAAAATAATAGCTTATTTCTTCAATACAACTAACTTGAAGACCAATGTCCAGGGATAAGATTTGCTCTTCTAGTGCAAGTTATAACTAAACATATTCGTAGTCCGGCTCGGTAAGAGTTGAGGTAAAAAACAAGAAAGCATGTTGCTAATTTATTTAGCCTTTCTGCTATCCCAGTAGCCCTTACCTGTTCTAAAAGTAATATTTCCGCAATAATACATAAGTCGCTAAAT